TTAGTCACCACCCATGCAATTAAGCAAAAAAGCATAAATTTTTCTATTTGTAAATATTTCATTCACTATATTAGGAATCGAAGTATGAATTTATATTAATCCCGGAAGTATTGCACTTGTTTAAATCCAACAGCTGATATTTGACGAAATTCAACGCAAACCAAAACAAGAGAAGAAAAAAAAGAACAGAATTAATTGACAACTTCTGTAAGTAAACCCGAATCATTAATAACAGATGTTTCCCAAACTAATAACTAATACAGCTCTTTAGACACGAAAATTCCTGAATTGTTATCTTTATTATAGTTATTATAAGATGCTGTTAAACTCCAAAAAAAAAAAACGTAAATTGCTCTTAGTCATCCATTTTATGATACTAATGTCATTTTCATATTGGCGATAATTTTTTAAATTATGCTAAGCAAGTACAGTACATTAGGATTTTATCACTAAAATATGTCAAACATACCAAATTAATTTCTTGAGTACTTATGGTTTTCAATTTAAGTTCATATTTTTTAAAGTAATAAATTGGCATTGAAATTATTAGATTAAAGTTTCCCACTATACAATATTTCTTCTTTTGAAGCAAATTCATATAGTTGAAAATCTTTTGAAAATCTATGGTTGAAGTCTCTTGTGAGGTAGAGTTTTGTGTTAATTAATATGTTACTTGTATTGTTTTTACGTGCCCCAGATGGAGTATGTTTTTACACCATTTTCACAATTAAAAATTCTTTTCTTTTTTTTTAATTTTTGAAATAAGATGTTTGCAAATCATAAAATGCTGTTAAATTATTGAAATTCAATAAAATCTGGTACTCAAATATTAATAACAAGTTTAAAATTAAATAGTAGCAACACAAATTACTTTACTTCTGAAAATTACGTTTTTCCCTTCTTAATTTTCGATAATCTGACTAAAAAATTCATCACCACTCAATAAATGTGGCACTTCTACAAGCAACTTTTACCAAACAACTATAACGATTTTAGTAACCATATAAAATGTTTACTGCGTTTTAATGCACAAAATAGTCTTTAAACATTACATACACTGTTTGTATTGTAAAAATACTCAAAATTATGAAAGCTTAAAGTGAGAATTTCTTTCATAAGTTTTTTATAAATAAACAAATCGCTATAACTTCGTATAGTTAACGTATTTCAATTGTATACTTAAATATCAGAGAGATTTTTTTGATACATTTTAGCAGTTTTTCTTTCTTTTTTTCAGCTTCTTTACATGCATTTTTTTTCGCTCTTAGGATTGATCAGTTTATTTTTTATCTGCCTCTTTTTTCTCATCAATTTCCTTTTTATCTCCTTTCAATTTTCCTTCTACTTTATCAACAAAATCATCATATTTGGTCTTTGTTTTTTTTAAAGCATCTCCGACTTTTTTTTTCGCTCCCTCCTCTTCTTTATCTGCTTTCTGAGAAACTTTCTTGGCTTCCTCCTCCAACTTAGCTTTAGCCTTTTGAGATTTTTCTGAAACTTTGTCAAAAATATTTTTACCTTCAGTTTTTGCTTTTTCTGTTGTATCCTTTGCTTTATCCTGCCCCTTCTTAGCTTCCTCCATCAATTTAGCTTTAGCCTTTTGAGATTTTTCTGAAACTTTGTCAACAGCGTCTTTACCTTCAGTTTTTGCTTTTTCTGCTGTATCCTTCACTTTATCCTGCCCCTTCTTGGCTTCCTCCTCCAATTTAGCTTTAGCCTTTTGAGATTTTTCTGAAACTTTGTCAACAGCATCTTTACCTTCAGTTTTTGCTTTTTCTGTTGTATCCTTCGCTTTATCCTGCCCCTTCTTGGCTTCCTCTACCACTTTAGCTTTAGCTTTTTGAGATTTTTCTGAAACTTTATCAACAGCAGTTCCACCTCCTGCTTTTGCCTTTTCAGTTGTTTTTTTCGCTGTGTCTTTCACTTTATCCATTCTCGCTCCTAGCCTATATTATAGTTCTTTCTCTCTTATTTTATTCAGTTTATTTTATTTTCTGATTCAATTTTTGAAACGTCGTCTCCCAATTCTTCCACTTTTCAACCGTTTACAGCAGTTAAGTCTTCTAAAAATATTTGAATGTTTAGCAAAATTTTTTAGGACTCTCTCTTCTGTACATTGTAATTCTGATTTGATGAAATTGGCATCAATTTTTCATGTAAGTACTTAAGTTAATAGTTATCCTATCCTATTTTAAATTTTTAAAATTTAACTTATTTCAAATTTCATTCTGAGGTACTAATTTTCTAAACATGGAACTCGCGCTTTATTTTCTAAATAATCTACAATGATTAAGTTTTGCTTATTTCAACCTCATAAGTTTGAATACTCTTTACAGAAGTAATTATCTTAATAATAGAAATCACGTTTATAAAACTACTAATTACTTCAAGCATTTGATTACTTTGCAAGTGATTTATCACGTGTTAGATTTTTTTAACTATTTATAAGTGATTGACCTTTTTAAGTTCAAAAAAGTGTAAAACGTTTAATAAATTACTGTTATTATGAATTGTTTCAACATAAACTAATTTAAAAACTAATTCCTAAGCGCTAAACCAAAAAAAGTACTAAACATTTAATATCGTGGAAAAGTTTTTTTTTTATTTTTTCCTTAAATCAAAATATTTAATAATGCCAAATTATCGAACCTTGCGTTTATCAAGTAGTTAACCTTTACGTCTTATAGAATTTTATAAAATAATCAATAAATTATCGTTATTTTAACGTATGAAACTGAATAAATGAAATAAGTAAACGCTGACAGTGATGCACTGCACTCAGTTATTGCTTTAATTACAACCACTACTCCTAACAGTATGCGAAATGCACATCTAGCAGGTGAGCGATAATTTAGCAGCTCACTTCGGGGGAGGTGCTAACTTTAGATTTTCATTTTGGACTTAAATATCCTTTTCTAAAACAATTTACAGCATTCCCAGAACAATTTCTGTATTCATGTACTCAGGTACAGGTCTCAAACTTTATGACCATATTATAAAAAAAGTTGAAACAGTAACCGTAGGTCTGATGATTGATTTTGTTTCTGCTTAACTTAGACTTCTTTTTCAGCAAATCTCATATTTGTCGAGTTTTGGAGAAGGCAGTTGATGAATTTCCAATTTGTGCAAAATTTCAGTTTTTTGCTAATTTAAGGTTAACACCAAATACATATGTTTATCTTTTCAGGTACAACACATTAATATGTATTCATAGAAATTAATAGCTTTGTGGTTCACCCTTTGATATGATAGATTTTGACGGCCAAAATCTAAAAAAAAGCCTTTTTCGAAGCTTTTGAATGACCATTGTAAAGGTCAACTGAAAGTGTTTATATTTTAATGGTTAGTGTGAAAGTCGTAGACAATAAAATAACTGTCAGTGCAGTAATTCACTCGTTTCATAAAAAGTATTGTCACTTGTATATCGATGTGTTTTTCTCAAAACTTCAGAGGATCTGGAGTTTTGACCCCCCCCCCCCAACAAAAAAAAACTTTAGAAAGAATATCCTTTAAAATAATAAAGAAAGCTCATGTCCAATAATTTCACATAAAGAACTTTACCCTCGAAAATTTCATCAAAATCAAATTACCTGTTCATAATGCGAAAAGCACAGAGCGCATCATAAGGGTAATTCTCGTAGTTGGTGGAAGTATATTTCTTTTTAGATATGACAAGAATACTTCCCTCTCCCCTCCCATTTTATTCACTTGAAAAATATACTTTTAAATTTTTTATTTTATTTAATTACTTTTTGCTTTTAGTTTTATGTCTGTTAGTTTATTTATTGAGAATGGTCAGAATGTCAGTTACCATTGAAAAGGAGCTAAATTTTGCTTGCAACATTTTGGAAACAATTGTAGCTTGCAGTTCTATCATCACATTTAGAACTGAAATTGAAATGAAATAACTAGTCAAAAAGTGGTCAAAACTTCGATTGACGATTAATTCTATATGAAGATTAATTCTACTTGTAGCAGCGGCCAGCGAAACAAGTGAAATTTGCATTCTCTTCAGACACAGAGTTCCGTTAGTGGTTTGATCACTCTAGCCAGTTGGAAAATCTTCGATTGGTCCTCTTTTTGGCAGTGAGATGAAGTCAAGGATGTTTGTTAAGGTCAAGAAACTAGTAAAAGTTGTATTGTCATTCACATTGAAATATAATTTATCTAGCTAGCTGGAAAGTGGGCGCAATGTTCTGAATGCGGATTATATCCACAAACGTGACGAAAATGTGATTTTCTTTACTTAAGACACAAGTGCATTAAAGACTAAATTCTGAAAATTGGTAAAGAAGTCTTGAATACTTGAAACTATAGATACACATATTGACATATTTAAAAAAAACTGTACCTAACAATATGAATTCTGCAATAACCCAGACGTACCATGTGAACGCATATAACATTAATAAATTAATGCCTATACGCGTGGCAAAAAATTTCCTAAAAGTAAATGTAGTGAAACACTAAATATACACTTTTCTTTCTAGTTTTTATTTAAAACTAAATGGCTCTTTGAGAAGAGATTCATTTATTGTAAATAAATCTGCAGGAAGAGCTATATCACTCTGTGTACTGACATTTAATTCCCAAATTAACAGCTCACAAAAGATTGTAATAAAAAATTTTGTCTTAAATCCAGTATTTTCAATACCTCTTCAATAAAAAATCTTATTTATTGATATTAATTGGGGTTTTTTTCTATAATGATTAGTCTTAAAGCTGAAAAACTATAAAAATACTGTCTAAAGTGATTGTCTGAAGGCGTGACATGTCACATCTGTGGACAAGCTTTGAACTATAATATTAATAAATTTAGCCGAAATAAAATTTTTACTAAAAACATATATATTGTGTTTGCTCATGAGTTTTTTTAAACAGAACTTAAAACGGCAAGTTAAATATTATGTTTGTATCTTTTTACCTTATTTTTTCAACTCTCAAATAATTGTAAATCTGAATAAAATAAAACGTGTTTGCCTCATCCTCCGTCATACTTTTTAATTAATATTTTCAGTTTTACTTTGAGATAGTTTTTTCTAGAAATAATTGTAAATATGATACTAATTAGAGTAATTCTTTTGAAATTAAATTATAAGTAGTGTAATGTAAATTACTTGACAGAACTCTTCGTTTAATTTTTTCAATTCATGCAAGCGATCCAAGTACGCCTGCTTTTCGGCATCTCTTTTATGTTTCTTCGTGGTAAGTAGAGACTGTAAAAAAAAAAGTCTTTCAATATTATAAAAAGAAATCCGATTACAACTGATTCCTTGAAATAGGTTACAATCGGCTATAAATAACTTAATAATAGTAATAAACAAATGAAATATGAAAAAATGAATAAATATGACAACCGAAGATGACGTCTACAGTGGGTAAAAGCAAAACTTTTTCTATCAGAGAGCACGACAAATGTCTAAAATTGCTCTCTCGGTAGAAAAGGTTTTGCTTTTCTGAGTTCCAGAGCTGGTACCCCCTGAAGACGTCACCTTCGGTTGCCATATTTATTCATCTTTTCATATTTCATTGTTTCTTTTGTTTCAATTCCTTTTGGATTCTCAGCTGCCTAGCTCGTTTTTCCACTGGAAGTATAATTTTCAATTGCTTTCAATATTTTGAATTCTTTTCTTAATATTAATAATAGTAAATGACTTCATTTCTTTGATATTTTATCATTTATAAAAATAAAAAATAAAGAACTTAAATCTTAACATTCAGAATTCCTCTGTATGCAACATGGAACTCCCAATTCTAAATTTCAGTGTTTGAGAACACAACAGTTTTAAGTCTTTCATTCTTACATAAACTCTAAAAATGCGCAACATTAAAAAAAAAGTTACATAGCACCAAAGCAGGTAAAATCGAAGGTAGTAAACAACGGTTAAAACAAGCATTAAACCAAATCAATAAACAACGTCACCCAACATTAGCATAAATATGGGCTATCCTGAAAACTTATAAAGTTTCCATATACATGGAACTGCAAATTTGGGTTAGAGACAACAGTAACAGAATTGAAGGATCTTGTCCTAACTAGACTCTCTTGAGCAGGATTTCTGTCCCATCCTACATTGATTCCGTTCTTCTGCAGTTTTGTTGAAACGCCTCTTTCTCGTGGGTAAATTACATTAAAGCTAAAATTGGCACTAAATTAATGAGCTTAATTAAAACAAAAGTGTATCACAGTTTGTTTACATATGCAGTTTGGTTTTAATTTTTCATTTCTGCCCAATTTAGATCAGTTTGTTTCAACTTTTCATTGCCAGCACGAGAAAAGAAATTTTATCGGTTTTGTGACCGTTTTTTTACAGTTTTTACAGTACATAATATTATTTTTTACAAACATAATGGAAAAATATATTAAAAGTGATCGCTTTAGAACACTCTGCATATAAGCTGCATTGCTTTAAAGTTTTTTACTGACTGTTGATTTTGGTTTTACTGTGAAAAACTTTTTTTTAATAATTAATATTATTATTTTACAGACAAATCCAAAATACTAAGATTCAAAAGCTTGAATTTAAAAATGAGTCTTTTTAAAAAATATTGAGTATGCATCAACATATGGGTCATTCTCACAAAAACAGTCATTTTCATGTCCCCAGTATATTTTATGTTTGTTTTACAACTTACGAAAAAATTTTTTTCAGGGAAAGTGTCCTTCAGAATGCAAGCTAACAAAAGAATAAAAATATAATTATCAATTTTTATTTTTTATTAATTTTAGGCAATAAAAATATACCAATATGTCATTCGCTCACTTGTCCCCACTGCTGATTTAAAAAAAGTAAAAAATTGTTTCTGAAATAAAAATTTTTTTTTTACAAATTCGTGTTTTTTATTTCAGAATACTGAAATATAGAATTCAGAAAATCAATTTTAAATTTAATNTGAGTATGCATCAACATATAAAAGCACACGATAAATCTTTAAATACAGATTTTTCATACTTGAATTTTTTCTTCAATCGTTTTCAGTCTTTCCATTTCTTGGGTCGCTTGTTTCATTATTTCATAAAATTCCGTTTCGAAATGCTCTATGCGTTTTACCCGTTCCTTGTTTTGAAGAATATCAGATTTAGAAAGCTTTTCAGAAGTTTTTTCCATAGTATCCTAAGCAGGTAGGAAAACATAATCAAATTTATGTCTAGAGAGTAGAAGTGATAGATGTAACACAGATATTGGGAAAAGGATTAAACAGGATAAATAAATTCCCGAGAGTTCTGAAGAAAGTGTTTTCTCTAAACATGAATGAAAATTTGCGATTAACCTTTTTCATGTCAAATCACACATTATTTTAAAACCTAAATTTTCATGATTTTCTCAAATTATTTAATGTAGATACTCTAACATGCGATGGATCTTTTAATTAATCCCATTTAAAGTAATCTCATGCAGTTAAATCTGGAGAAATTGGAGACTAGGAAAAAAAAAAGAAAGAGACCTATAACCCTGGATAATAATTTTGTTCTCATTGGATTTTATCATTGAATTCCAATCTAAGTGGTTTAAAAATGTGATATCAAATATGCTAATTACTTAGTGTAAACTATTAATTAGGTTACTGAATCGAACACATTCTTCTTTATATCATGCCTTTATTATGATGGATTTGAATATTTTAATTAAATCATGAGGTGGCCGAATATGGAAAACATGATTCCAATATTTTAGCCACATGTCAGGAGAGCGTTCGAAAATTTGGGCTCCTTAATGTTAATTTTAAATATCGGGCTCATTTTGCCTTTCTGCACACCTTTATAACTTCGTTTATCAACTCTTTCAAGTAAGAGATTTTTAAGTATTATTTATTATTTTGTTCAATGAGGGTCAAAAAATAATCTGAATTGCAACGTATACAAATTTTTACACTATTTTTACAATGGAACTTTAAATTACAAAATGCAAAATTTTAACGAAATCGGACAAATAATATCAGAGTTCTATAAAACAGCATATTTCTAAATTTTCATTTCTCAAGGAATATTGGACCAATTTCATTCAATTTTTGTATTTTTTCATTAAAAGTACGAAGTTTAAAATGGTGGGAAAAAATCTAGATGTGTTAGAATCGAAAATAAAATTTGATCATTATTAAATAATAAAAAATAATTATTAAAAATTATTTTCTCTATGAAATCATCTTTAGATAAACGAATTTTTCGATTCGCTAATAAAGTTTTCGTAATATGGCAAAATAGGTAAAAAAGTTTTTTAGCATTAAGGGTCCAAAACTTTCGACTGCTTTCCTGACTAAACTGTTGTGACCATATTTTCCAGATTGCGGTTACCCTCTATTCAGAGATTTCAAAATTTAAATCTATCGAAAAAAATAGGTGTGTTTATTCAATAAAGGTATGTTTTTGTGTTTAATTCCATCAAGGAAAGACTAACGTAACATTATTTTAGTAATAGAAAAGTCAATATATTATTTATGAAAAGTTTAGAATAAAAATACTTTTCGTGAAAGAAGAAATTTTTGAGAAGCAGTGTCAATAAAATTTCCTTCCAGGCATCATCTTCAATGTAGAGCATTTTTGCGTTAACTTAATAAAACAAAGTTAAAAATTATTTGCTCTTTTGTTTCGACTTTTCATTCGTTAAATTCTCCTTGTTCCTGCATATACATTTTTAATAAATTTATGTCATTTTGTCCATTCGATTTTAGCGATCATATGATACATTTATGCTTGACATTTTCCTTGAGCTAATTATTCTAATAACATTAAAATGCATGTAATATTGTGGAATAGAAAACTGCGATTCGATTATTAGTTTGAAAATTAATAACTCTTAAAAAATCATGTTAGTCTTATCTATTATCAGCTGAAATGCAACTTCGGAATTCACTACACATGTTAATTCTAATGAGAGTTTCTGATCGAAATTTCTATTTATTCGAAAGTTCAATTTTGAGTGTTTTCTTTTTGCCCTTTTTTCCCCTTAAATAATAATTATTTATCCATTATTAGTGAAAAATTCCCCTCACATTTCTCCCGTCTTTCTGCAATATCGCGGAAAGATCATTCTTACGAACTGTAGAACACGTATTTAAAGCAACCCTGATTTGCATGTTCACAATAGCGCTACTAGCAACAAACTTCGAAATTTGAATAGACATCATCTTTTAGTTGTATAAACAAGCCTACCAAATTTAGTTTATCTAGCACAACTCCTTCTTGGTGTTGGGATTTTTTTTTTTTTTCCGTCAGTGTATATCATAATTTTTACAATATGAAGATTGAAGACAAGAGTGATAAAAATTGTTTCCAATGTCAAATGTTATATGTTTATCGTTATAGTTGGTAAACGAGTAAAATTACTTCCCATTTATAACTTCTTATTGTGTCGCACATTCTGTTATTCCTTAGTTTTTTTGTTTTTTCGTAATACAGATGATTATTTTTCAAATTCAGCTTTTCTTTCATTTCGTTACGATTAACATATTAATAAAATGAGCTAACATAACAATATATTTATTGCACATAAATTGATCTTTCTCTTATCAGCTTTTAAGAAAACTTTTAAGGAGATGAGAGGTGAAAACGATTTATCTCACTGAAAGTTGATTCTGAGAAGAAAAAGAAAAACGCACAGGAACTGTTTTTCCACTGCACGGCCTATCTTTACTGTGTAATAACTGTCGAGGGAAATCAATTTTCCAAGTTATTGATTTGCCGAAACTTAGTAAACTTCAAAATACAGCAAATGGCATTCCTATCGTAATTTTTGCAACAAAAAAAATTTAAAAAAAAATGGCGTTTTTTCTCCATTGATCTTCAATGATGAATGAGAAGCAACCACAAGGATTGGTGAGCAAGATGAACAGAGGGCGGAGGCGAAGCCTTCTAGTATTTTTTTCTAAAGCTATTTTAGGCGTTTATAAATAACTCTTTACAAAATTACTTTGTTTCTGAGAAAGTATTTCATCGGAATGATAAAAATAAAAGATACGGAAAAGGACGAGAACAATTGCTACGAATAAATAGATGGCGAAATTTAGTCTTTCATTAAAGTACTTTGAAACTTTAACGTCCACTTTTCAAAGACTCGTAACTTTGCAAATTTACATTAGAAATTAAAATTAGCGATGATATTTCTGATGTTTCAAGTATTTTTCTGTTAAAAAAAAAAAAGATATCTTAAAATAATTTTATTGTAAATTTGGCATAAATTCAAAAGCATCATATCAAAATTATATTTCCCTCCCACAAGAAAATAACATAAATGTATAAAAATTTCCAAAAATTAAAATTTATGCTAAAAAAAATTTTTTTGAGTCCAATGAAAAAAATCTTAAATAGTTGACACCAAATTAATAAAACATTTTTTCTCTCTAGAATTACTAAGCTGAATGCTAATAGAATATGAAAAAAATATTTTTTTCCTACTATGTTAAATTTCATCTGTAACAATGATGCACATTATTAAAATAATTTTTCTTTCAAAATATCTCATCTTTTTCAAATATTTTTAATATATTAGTAGGGGAATAAATTTAGGAAAAAACAGTTTTCAGGTTAACAGTTTTCGGGGCCTCATAGGAACTCGCAACCCATCCTTAAAAACGACGCTGAGTTCCGAAACGTAATAGTTAGCACCATAGCATACTTGAAATCAAGTCTTTAAACCATTAAAACTGGCATTTACTTATATCATTTACTTTTCCGTGTTAGTGGCATTTACTTTTCCGTGTTAGTAAAAATCCAACTGTTAGAAAAGAAGTTATTTAAGGTGATATTAATTATTATTAAAAATTTACGCAGAGTAACTGTTCCTGGTTATATTAATCTACTTATTATATTACTCTACTTATCCAATATTCCAACACAGAGAGTCAATCCTATTTTTAAAAAAATATTTTTTTCATTTTTTCCATAAATACTTTCAATTCCTATGCATGAAAGTAAAAAAATGCTTGGATTGGTTTCCTCCTTAGTACCTACGTCAAAATGGAACCAGGAAAAAATAAATAAATCACATCACAGAAAGAGACAAATTCTATACGTAAAACACATAACCATCTCTGGATAAACTACCATATATACTTATTTCGATTCCAAATTATACAAGAACCGAGCAGATATAGAAGACCCTTTCCTTTGAAGTAGCCAATGAAATAATACTAATTGTTGTTTCAAATTATTTAGATGATAACTTCATTGGAAGCTCAGACAAACAGTTTAAATTTTAAAAAAAATTGCGGCACTAATCTCGTAGTTTTAGTTGGTGGTTACAGTATTTAACAAACTTTCCATTCTTTTTATGTTATAGATTAATCTCATTTTTCGTATTGCAAACTAGTTTCTCGTGGCTTTTGCTATTTAACACTTCTTTACAAAATACTTCACTCCTAAACATAAAAAACTACTTAATGATAGTACACTACAAATGCAAAGTTATTTTTAATAATAGTTTAGCAAATAATAGTTTTAACGAAGCGTCAAATAAAATTATAAATTAAGCAATTTTATTTAAAAAGGTGGAAAAATTATATATATATTAAGTATTAGCCTACCTGAACAAACTTTTCGAAATACATTCTTTTATTTTGCATAATTTCATTCAAATCGTTATTGAAATTTTTAAATAATTGCGACATTTCATTACTAAAATGAGCCTTACTACTTGAATGGGATTTCTTTTCCGTGTTAGCATTTTTTGAAAGAATCAGAGGATCAAAAATCATTGTAAGGTATTTTATAATTTATTTATTCCTTTCTATCAAAATATGAACTTAGCAAAAGCGTTTTGTATTCTAAAGTATGATAACTGCATACAAATCACAATAATTAATGGCAAACGATAATCTGGAAAATATATTAACTGCTAATTAAAAACGACTCTTTTAAATAAACTGAAAAAATTATGAGTAAAAAATAAAGCAACAATTTATATGCCAAAATCGTATTATTTCAACACACTTATAGAATTAGAACATTATTTTTGTAATTGAAAAATAATTTTGAGGATAAATATATTTATGATTAGTGTTCCATTGTGCGATGATTTATCACAGAAAGTGGAAGAAATAACGTTAAGAATTGCTACTATTTAGGTTCAAAATAATTTTAAAAGAAAAATTCTTATCAAATAAATAAAAATAAAAAAACATTACGCCATGTTTGGTACAAATAAGAAGAAAAAAAAAAGAGTTAAAATTGAGATAGTTTGCAATTTTCAACGATAATAATAAACATTTTGCCTTCTTGCATTTAATGTAATTTAAGAATAGAAATGTTGAATGACTGCATATAATATTTTTGAAAAAATGCTTTTTAAAATATGATCAAAACGTTTAGAAATAAATATTGAGTATAGTAAAGTGCGGCGAGCTCTCTGCTTATCGCTCTGCGTTTAGAAATAAATATTTGTGCAGCAGTAATGCTCATTCAAAATTAGAAAACGATTCCAAAAAGAAACAAAGAATAGTTTTCTTAAAAATTCGCGAATGCAACGACCCATAGGGGGCGATGTTATTTGAGATGAATGACTGCTAACAGAGTAACAGGATCATCAGTTGCACTGGAGATTTCTTCAGTGTACCATGGTAACGTTCCTTCTTTAACATGGCATATTAAATTTAAAAAAGAAAAATGTTTGATATTCTTTCTTATGCAAGTAAATATAAAATGGAGAATCACTTTTTTTTAAGAGAAGGAACATCCAGAACACATCGGAAAAACTTTCGTTAATTAACAGAAAAAAAATATGTATCTTCTTATTAGAGTTAAGACCTAATACTTAAGTCACTTTATTAAATTTAATGATCTAATATTATAGGTTCATTTAAACTTTATATTCTATAATTTTCTGAATCATATTTCAAACATTAAAATATGCAAGAAGTATACAGAAACACATAATGTTATATCATTTAATTTTGCAAAAAAAGGCTTTTGACAGCAATTTTTATCAAAAAAATTTTAAAGTTTCGATAAAAAATCATTTATAAACTGACAAACATAAAATAAAGAATGCTTACGATTAAAAAAAAAAAAGGATTCCAAAAATTCCTCATATTGAAGTAAAAAATTTTCATTTTTTTTTCTTGAAGTTCTTAATCAGATGTAAAAAAGCATTCTGTAGAGAACTATCATCTAATTAGAAAAAAAAAATATTTACAAGTAAAATTTTTATTATAAAAATCATAACACTTACCTGCTTTATAAATCCGGAGAATTCCATAATGAAATGTTCCTCGTTTAAAAATTTTATTCTCAAATAATATATACATAGATTATCCCATCATTACCTTAAGATGACATACCACACAATAAAACTTTATAACTGTAAGTTCTCGATACGAATTTCAATATGTAACTAAAAACAGAATAGCTGAATTCTAGTTGAAATTAATCATTCAAAATAAAAAAAATACTTAACAAGAAAACGATAAAAATTTATTAATAATCAACACAAATGACACTATTTAAAGTAATTCGGATGATTCTTTATTGTTGTCTTCCGAATTATATAGATATAGAAATATATACTATATTCTATAAAGAAGGAGAATATTCTATAACTTTTACAGTTCTACACGTTCTGAAAACACATTTATTCATTGGAATGAAGTAACCATTGTGAACTTAAATAACTTCACTTTAATTAACAATGAATTGAAAACAAAACAAAAATTTTTTACTGTAATACACACGTCTGTAAAAGTATGCGATCGTGAAATCGGAAGTTATCGGTTACAAGTTTATTGATAATAGAAAGGGGGGGAAATATTGAAAAACTGTTCTTCAAATGTAGGGCACGTTCTGTTTCCGAATGATTTACCTATATTCTGGGTCATTTTTTCAAGTTCTTCTGCCTCTTCGTTTGAGAAATTTTGTTTCTTATTTGCTGCTCAAAAAAATAGCGTCCTACTCTACCAATGATTCTGATAAAGCTAAATGAAAACTTAATAAATAGAGCCTGAAAATATCCACCCCGCTAGAGGGAGTATTCAAGCGTTGCGATCGCGAACTGTATTCACCAGTACTTTTTCGATTAGCAAATTATTCTGTAAAAACAATTTGAAATTGTGTAAAAATTTATTGCATTGCAAAATAAAGATAATTTCAAGTATCATTTTACATTTTCTGTAGGAATTATATTAAACTTTTTTAGGAAAAACTGTCATAATCTATTATTGTGTAGAAGAGTAACATGATTAAATGAAATTACAAAAAAGCACATCCCTAATCCATATCAGGAGATAATATCCATATCATCAATATCACTAAATCATCACTATCATCAATCTATATCACTAAATAGAATCTTACATAGTTTATTTCGAAAATATATGATAACGCATTGTATATGTTTTACTAAGAATTTTCGAAATATTGATACAATAAGATCTTAACAAGAAATGACACAAGAGTGAAATAAATATAATATAACGAAAATATATTTATTACAAACACCATCATCATATACAAAAACACTGTGAATTTTGCTTTTACAAGTTACAATCAATGTATTTGATCAAGAGCGAATGGAATAATGAATTCAATAATAACATGAATACGGAACAAACTTACAAACGAGTTTTCGTGACTTCACATAAACAAAATCTGAAAATACACTTTTGCATAACAATAATGCACAACACTGACAAGACATAGATCTCTGAATGGAACAATCACATCAATATTAAAATATTTCAATACATAAATATCACAACATACAAATATAGCATATAAACATTAAGCTAGCTTCTTTATTAGCAAACGTGTTTTCAGAAAACAATTTAAGTATATATAAACATCTCTTATTAGCAGCTTACAAAGAACAGTGCTGTCTATAATAAACAAACAGTAGTTGTGTCAATTTATTAACAGCAAGCTTAACAAGTAATTTTTAGAAGCAAAAGAATTACACATATACATAATTATGCACACAGTTACACCATTAATGCTCAATTAACTCTTTTCTTTTTTTTTTAACTGAAGAATAAGATGCATGAAAAAAAATATACTTGTTATCAAAATGCTGCGTTTATTTTAAGTTAGCAATGTGGATTTAATGCTTTAAGTATCTGGAAAATATTTACTGCATAAAAATATAAGCAGGTTTATTGACATGGTAAATTTCTGAGAGAAATTCAGGAAACAAGATTTTGTTTCGAATTAAGAAAAAAAGTAATCATTATTTAACTAAGACTTTTTAATTTTAGTTAATAAATGATTGCATTTTTTTTTACCATTTTTAATAATGATCGTGTTTAACAAACCTAATCGCGTCAGTTGAAACTTTAAATTGCCTTTTTCACTTATACCTAGTATTTTGAGTTTAGTAACTGCTGGTATTTCACAAAAGATAAGTTAGTAACGAAATTTCAGTGCGTTTAGCTATTTTTTTATCTGGACGAATTAAATCCAGTAGTATTTTAAATTAATGATTCCAATAAATTTTATGCCATATTTGTTGAAGTCCAAACTGAAACTGTTAGAAAAATCTAACTAATTTAAAAAAAACTATTATACCCTACAAATGGTAAAACGTAACAAATAATTTTGTGGAAATTATTAACTAAAATAAGAAACTATATGTAATAGAAACAGTGTAGAATATTGACTTATTACGTAATCACACGTAATCAAGATTACATATTGCCATGGTCACTTTAATCATAGATCAGGTCATTATCTGCAATTATGATTACTTGGATTATTGATCATGATTACTTGCAATTAAATCAAATGCATTTTTACCCAAACTCTAGTAGACCATTTGGTTTGTAAAACTATGTTTTTTTTTTTTGGAATATTCATTAAATTAAATTTTCTGTATTCCCATACGATTTTTTCCCAATTTTTTAAACATAATAGTTTGTGTGCAAAAGAATTGTTACGAAACAATTGCAATCTCTTTAGTATTTTATTTTATAAATACAATATTTCTTATTAGTAAATATAAAAAAATAATCTAATGAAAAATTCGTTGATGCGATGATATGGCTTTTATTACAAACTTCATGAAAAATAGGTGTTTTTTTTCTCCAAAACTGTAATAAGATCGCAAACGTTTTCTAAAACCAAAATAATTTACAAGTTCTACACAGTTTTAACCAATTTTTGTCTCTCACCATGTCAAAAATCCAACTTTACTTCAAACCTATTATCAAAAGTCAGAAGTTAAAGAATTGCACATTGAAAGAACTGCACAGTTAATATTATTATATCTATTGAATTATACTTTAATTAAAATATTACAGTAAAATATCTTCAAAAAATCATTTTTAAAATTCATCTAGCCATATAAGATGTTTGTTAAAATGAAACATGATTTACTAGGAACAAATTTAGATCTAATAATTGCGATGGCTGTTAATTTTTTGAGATTTCAACTGAAAAAAAAAATTAGGTGGGATATGTCTCAGAAATTTTATTTAAACCAGATATTTGTATGCTTTGATATTTCTTAATTATTTTCTTTGTTGTATAAATATTGAGCAATAAAAAATTTATCAGCAAATGGCAAAATATCATTAATAATAAGGGTGTTTATATGTTTATTTAAAACAAATGTATTTTAAAATTGTTGTTACATATTGTTCAGAACTTCAAACATTACACGTAAATTTTAAAAGGGTGTTCATGTATAAGAACTGTATGTATATTAATAAGAGCTTAAAAACAAATTAAACTTTAAAAAAATATGTGCTAAACAAAAAATTTTAAATTAATAACACAGTTCAAAGAGTAAAAAAAAATATATCACAAGAGCAACTAAAACTGTTCAACAAGCTGTCTAACA